CAAGTCAACATCACATTTTAAAGAGATAAGACTACTGTTAGGTATAATAAGGCAATGTTTAGACAAGTCGACAAATTACAATGACATTACAACGCTTATATTTGACATAATAAGACGCTTTCTGAGCAAGATAAAAAGAAATGTAATAACATGAGGCAGCTATGGCGTTCCATACAATAGTCTTTAATGAACCTTATGATATGCTGTCTATTATAACGGTTTGTCTTCTTACAGGTAGCTTCAATATTCAATTTGATTTTGTTCCTCTCGTTTTTTCTCTCATTTAGGTCACACCCTTTCTGTTACGTGGAGCACATACGTTGCTTTTTCATGAAATGGCCAAAAAATAATAATATTGAAGGTTCGTGTCATGCTATATTGAAAATTATAATCATGTTCTGCTCAGAAGGGTGCAAGTGGCGTGGACGATAGCCAGTCTTTATCACTACCTTCCATGAACAGACTCAACGTTGGCCGATGAGAAAGCTTTCTATTATTTGCCCTTGCTCTTAGTTCAAATTGGTGAATATTGATCTTTGAAAACGGTGGAAGTTCAAAGCTAGCTTTAAATTTCCCTGTAGTTTCGATCTACGATGTCAGAATTAAATTGTTGTTGCTATTTTAATCTTAACTCTCGGGTAACGAAATTAGTTTCCCTTTGTACATTGATTATCTATGTAGCAAAGTATAGACCTCCATTTCTTTCCCCGAAAACAATTATCTTGTATATCACCTACATAATTTCCTGCCAAATCATTACATTTGCTGAACTTATGTACAAATGTACATACAATTGAAACATCTAATGGTATAATATGATTCAAATTTAAATTTTGAAATTAACCAATTAAAAGAAACAAAAAGAAAATCAAAAATAAACGATGCATCTGTCGAAATTCATTCTAAGAGGTAAATTTTTTTTCAGTATAAGCACATTACGTTTAAAGGCACATTATGCCTCACAAATCAATCATATATCTTTATTCTTTTATAAATCTCAAATGTTGTTATAATAATAGATTTAGAGGATGTTACATGTTAACAACCGATGAAAGTAGGCTGAACATGCAGTTATGTGTCATTTAGGAAGCAATTGTACACGAAGAATCATTTTAACTTCCATACAAAATACTAATTCACTATAATTACACCAATTGTCAACAAAGCAAAAGAAGCAAGCGTTAGTTTGTCATTCAAGAATTTTTCTATGTATCTACGTCCCTTGTTAAGTTCACCCACAACATTATCTCTCTAAGTACAGAAGATTAGATTTGTAAATTGTATTCATATAAGACGAACTGTGTTGTGTTGTGTTTCATTTTCAAAAAAAAAGCAATTTGAGATTTTTTCGCATTTCATAAACAATACACTTTGTATGAAATAACTTATTTCATAAAAATAACATATTTTGTAATTCTATAGATCAAACATCAATTCAGTAAATTTTCTATTTGAGCATAAGCATTGATAAAACAAATATATTTCCTTTTTATGTGGTTAAGTTTTACGTAAACAAGACAAATATCAAATGATTTTACTTAAGTCAAGGTCAATATGATTAACTATTTTCAGAAAATTATTGTACTACGCAATAGATACTCGTGTTACATAAGAAGTATGTATAAAGAGTATGCCAAGGTCTAAAATAAATAACGCATATCCATATCAGATGATGATATCTCGTATTTTTCAAAACAAACATTATATATTTCATGTCCTTCTTCCTCTTATCTATTTCATAATTTCATACACATGAAGAAAATTTAAAAAAATCATGCGGTAAAATCACACATGTATTACATTGGTTTCCGATACAATAACATGTCTAGATATTTACAAATACTTTATTCTATTGTCGAAAATGCTCTAAATTAGTTGGATCTTTATATAGACTGAAAAAATGTTGGATCGGGAAGTTTATATAATATAAAATGGAAATAAGGAACATTATCAAATTGAAACCCCATACACCATATTGACATTGAACGATTTTTCTGCTTAATTAAAAGTGTACAAACTTTGAGAATAAAATACTCTCCTGGTGATATTTAGGGAAACAATACAATCAGAAAGTCTTTCTATCGCTTTAAATATAATGAAAATATGAAATAGATAAATTTCATAGATTTTGTAGCAATAGATAAAAGCCTTTAATGACTATTTTGATATGTTGTCTGCTTTTAAAATGTGTCTTATGCGGCTGTCTGTATTATGACTTATTAACTATATAGGCTATTTAACTTCTTTTTCGCTATTAAAATTTTATTTGATTTATTTCCTTGAAACGATTTCTCGTTTAGTGTGCAAACACTCTCCTGCTTCCCTTTCTTGATATGACACGAAAGTGTCGCATTGACAGTTCCATGATCACCGGTGACGAACATATTTACGGGTATTAAAATTCTTTATTGAAAACCATTTTGTTTACGTTTATATGTTGAGTTCTGCTTAAGGTGGAACGGGACATTTTGCAAACTTTCGAGATTGGCATGTAAAGATTTGACCATATTTCAGATTAGATTCCGTTGATTTTATTCCAATAGTTCCTGCCATTTTTGTACACATGACGTCAAAGTTGACCACCAAAGCCCTTTTTAGAACAAGACAACTTGTATTTACCATTTACCGTTCAGGAACAGGATTTGCAGACGTTAAAAGTTACAATTGTTGACTATCTTATCTTTGAACCGGCTCGTAGTTCACACTTATTGTGTAAATGGTTAATTTGATTTTATTAGGTTTGTAAAGCTAGCTTGAAATTCATTTGTAGATTGTATTTTTATCTTCGATCTACGTTTTCAGTGCTAGTTTAAAAAAAGATTTCAGCGTACAATATTTACAGTATCGCTAGATTACATCAACAAATAAAGTTATGGAAGCCAGCACTATGTTTGCCCTTTTCCTTTAAGACTACATAGCATCTCATTTCCCGAAAAAAGAAATACTGTCTTGTAATTAACATGCATAGTTTCCCGACACATCATTACATTTTCCAAAAACTGTAATCTTTGCTTCGTATGTTACATAGCATGTAATAGACATCATATGATTAAAATACACGTATGTCCAAATTTTAGAAAACGAATTAACCTACAATAAGACTTTCTAAAAATTGTGTGAGATGTTTGCTATATAAAGTCCACAAATCCAACGCGTATTTATACTCAGAAATTTTTTCAAGACAAATCACAAAGTCAGGAAATTATATAAAAGGTAAAATTTCCTTTCTGGATAATTACGTTTTATTTAGGGATAATTAAGAAAAATCTTTCTTCATATTTAAAATACACCAGTAGTTTTATATTTTCTTGCTGAAATATTGAAATTCAAGCTAATGGTAGTGATTTTTTTGTACGCTGAACTACTAGAAATTATTTTTCCAACATAGTCACTTTAAAGGAACAAATGATAATAAATGCAACATATATGTTTAACTTATTTTATTTATGGTTGGCATAAAATTTCCGTCATGACTGGTCATTAAGTAACATAAAGTTAATAGAGTTTGAACCTTTATATAAAATAGAATATTATAAAATAGGTTTTGCTTCGTCATCGATTGCAAAAACCTGTAATTTTATGTTAGATTTTCGCCATATCGACGGCTGAATAAGAGCATTAAATATTCCAGACAATCTGTTATAGAATAATATTAACAATTACATGTATATCAATTATAATATTATATGACTAATACTCATATCCTAACAGTCGGAAGTGACATTTTATATATTGCTTATATATGCTTCGGTAGCTTAATATGTTTATTCAGATATAATCAATTAAAATTATGTTCCGAAAAAGAGACAATGTGCTGACAAATGCCAGATATGATAAACACTTGTTATCCGAAGCTTATAAAATATGTTTTATAAATATTATCAATAAAAATTAGTTAAATTTTGAAAAGAGTGATACAGCCATTTGTATATATAAATACATTTATCAAGCATATCACGATCAAAACTGCCATAGAATGTCTAGGACATTCCAAACCAGAACAATTACTCAACAGGTTTGATCGTATATTCGTCTTAGGAATACTGGCCGCCTACGTAAAACCCCTTTTTTAAGAGGAACCGTAGCATCCGTTGGCATGCACTGAGGAAACCTCCTCAGACTATTCCTCGGAATAAAGAACAACGGACCTGCTCAGATATGCCAGTAAACATATAAAATACAAAATACATACAGCTCAATAAAGAGAAACGTTCTTTATAAGAAAAATTATTATTTTAATTAAATAGTAGTGTGATAATTATATAATGTAAGTAAACTTGCTCGAAACCATGTATAACAATGTAATGATAAGATAATAATCATTATATCAATACTTTTTTAAAGACAATATGTGTTTTATTTACACATGGGTTAATTTAATTAACAGTGTTTTGTTTTGTACCGACATCGGTTACAGGTTATCTATTGACTATTCTACAAATATCCGAAAGTCAGTTGCATCCCACAGGTGTTCGAAATGTTTATGCTTATGTACAGGCCAGTTAAATGTATGTTTTGAACCGACGTCGGATTCAAATGATAGGGGTCTGGCAGTCGACGTTGGTAAATTTCCGGATGTCGCAAAACAAATATTGACTGTTGAAATGATAATTCCAGCCATGACGAAGAAGGGCTAAGTATCGCGGCGGTCATTATTACCTGAAAACAGAAAAAAGAGACAACAGCAAAGCAAATGGGAAGGGCGGGTGGGTATTTTTCCGTGTTAGTTCACGGCAGCTTCTGGTATTTTTCCGTGTTAGTTCACGGCAGCTTCTGGTATTTTTCCGTGTAAGTTCACGGCCGCTTCTGGTATTTTTCCGTGTTAGTTCACGGCAGCTTCTGGTATTTTTCCGTGTTAGTTCACGGCAGCTTCTGGTATTTTTCCGTGTTAGTTCACGGCAGCTTCTGGTATTTTTCCGTGTTAGTTCACGGCAGCTTCTGGTATTTTTCCGTGTTAGTTCACGGCAGCTTCTGGTATTTTTCCGTGTTAGTTCACGGCAGCTTCTGGTATTTTTTCCGTGTTAGTTCACGGCAGCTTCTGGAGCTCGGAGACTGGATCGAAAAGGAATTTGCAGAAGCGTGCTCGGTTTATATACCCAGTCTACTAAGCATGCGCGAACGAGATTGAATGACTTGTTAGGAGGAGGAGCCAAATATACAGGTCATTGCAAAAATACTGTGACGTATAGTGTAAAAATAAAGAGTTTAAACTCAAGCGCTTAAACTGAATATTATACCAAGACACAGTCCTTGTTCGACAAAATGAAGGTTTTGATTAAGTATGTAAGTAACATTATGGATAGGACAGGATTTAACTTCTGAGGGTTAAATTATTATATATTTACAAATAATTGAGTGTGATAACAAATTTTATTCTTATGCAGATGTCAAGTCAGCAGAACAGTGGTAGTTACACCGGTCCTGAAATGAAGGGGAATATGGATAACCGGAGCAACCAGTGTAATCCAAATAACCAGACTTACCAGTAAGTTCAACCATTTTTCTATTATAATCACAAAATATTTATCAATATACTAGAGGAAATATACATAATCATAATAATTATGAAATAAAACTGTATTTGCTACAAATATTTTATTGTTTGATTTATTTCGCTTGTATGATACAGGGTTTGTAATAAAGTATATTTGCTAAAAAAAACCAAGAAAGTAATAACTTTATTCTCATAAAGCATTTGAGCTTTAACATCCATTTTGCAATCTCTTTCTTTTTAACTGTATATAGCTTATTGACCCTTTGAAAGTGACTACTACTAATTTGTTTAGTTTAAAGCTTATGAAAGAAAGTTCGAAAAAGACATTAAAGATAGTTTAACTAGTTTTCAACAAAAATGATGGAGTATAGAAATGTTATGTTAGGAGAATTTAATCCTATTATTGTGTTCACTACATTAAGTTTTAACCGTAGATTATATGCAAAATTGAGCCGCGTCACGACAAAACCACCATAGTGGATTTGCGACCAGCATGGATCCAGACCAGCCTGCGCATCAGCGCAGTCTGATCAGGATCCATGCTGTTCGCTTACCAACTCTATTACTAGTAGAGAAACTGACAGCGAACAGCATGGATCCTGATCAGTCTGCGCGGATGCGCAGGCTGGTCTGGATCCATGCTGGTCGCAAACGCACTATGTTGGTTTTGTCTTGACGCGGCTCAAATGTAATACAATGTATTTGTCTGGTATTTTAGGGGACATACTTCTGGATATGGCGGTACAGGGACGAGAGCTGATCTTGGCAACCATTCCAATCAGCTCAATCCAAACAACTCAAGATATCAGGCTCCGAAAAAGTGATGTTTTAACATTATGTGAAGATAAAGACTGTTGAATGTCCATAAAAATATAAATAAAGAAAATTAATTTTGAGAAAATTATGTTACTGTTTTATATTAAAGAGTACTTTCAACATATATTGAGGGCATTTAATGTAAAAAGTTTTCCTAAAATGGCGAAAACACAGTGCAAACATTGCAGCACTCTGAAGACAAATTACATGTACCTCCTTTCCACAATAGTTTCAATTCTTCTGCAAGTAAGACACCACTCCAGAGCAACACCTTTCACCGACAACTTATATTTCGTCTTTCATAAGGCGTTGTTCTGCAAAGGTTATACTGCATGGAGAAAAGTATATAGTCATACTCCAACTGAAAATGTTTATATTTTAAGTTCACTTTTATTTAGCTTGTTGATGAACGGTAGTGACCTTTTTATGCTTCCCCATTCTTCCGCATCGGCTTTAAGGAAACAGAATATGGTATATTTCAAAATTTAGAAAAATTCACAGATGTGTTTATACGGCGTTGATCAAAGACCCTTCCATATGCCGCATATGCCGTTGTCATTAAACGGCACGCCCGACCAAACGGTACAACTTCAAACATGTGCACGAACCAAGATAAAAATTTGACCATTTGAGCGTTTGAGAAACAAATCAAAGGAAACGCTTAAATCAATTCGTTCTTCTTCGTTAAGAGATTTTTAAAAGATATCTGCTTTACTTATAAGTAAAGAATATAAGTACATAGTAAATGGTTTATAGAATAGTACAAAAACATCGATACATATCACATTAACCAAAACATCGTCATATACACATGAATTATTTCATTATCGTTTACATGCATAAAATAATGTGAAGACTTTAATACATATCTAAAACGTTAGTCTTGTATCGGATTTTGATAGCATCTTTAATTCTATTTATCAATATATTTCATAAGCCATGCACAGACATACATTTTTAAGTAAGTCCTTCAGGAAACAACACAATGCATGTAACTTAAGTCAAACATAGAAGTACAACATCACAATGTAATAATTGATAAATTATTATGCCAAATTATAGCATTAAACAACAAATATCACATAAAATAATTTACATTGATATAACAATAACAACATAATCATATTGTCTTACGTCTTAACCTAGTATAACATGCTATAACAAACTATAGCCCAAATTTATTTAAATGACCTTTTTCTTTATTTGAAGCTGATATTTTAATCTTAATCGTGTTAGTTAATTTGTAATTATTGTAAGCTATTGAAATTAACACAAGGGCTGCGAATCACTGACAATGTTTTCTATTTTGTGAGATACGAAGAGCATGTCATTTATTCTGTAAAAAAGCATTTGATTGAAACTATAATGTGAAAAAGATCAATTTGGTTCGACAAAAGGCTTTGAGGAATAGCTTATCAAAATGTTTGTTTTGATTCAAAGACGATTTTGACTGATATCTGAGGTTGACTGCTATTAAGGTGCTTAACTTACTATAAAACTGAAACAGTGCTGGAAGAAAATGGTTGACATAGACAACAAGTTATAACTACTTTTGAAGTTTCAAGGATATGTGAATTCGTTTTCAAGAGTTTTATTATGAACAATTGCCTCTTACTTTACTAAAAATCTTCCTTGTAACAGATTAGATTACTTACCTTATAAAATGATTAACATGATACTGTTAGTAATAGAAAGAGCATCGAAACACGAGGATATCTGATTTGTACGAGGGGGCGTAGCCCCCGAGTATTAATCAGATTGCCGAGTGTTTTGATGTTTTTTCTCTTTTGTATCATAGTCAAACATAAAAACACGTTCCCTGTTGTCACAATATGAAACCCGGGAAAAAATAACCAATGAACGAGCATCTGAATATGATATTTCTGTCTCTTTCCTTTTCTCTTCCGTCACAATAAGTAAACCACAGCAAAAATGAGCCAATCAATGGGCATGCTCTGGAGTGCGGGTAACTAATACCTGCACTCAAGTTAACGCGATGTGCATGTATATGTATACAATTTAACTCTGAAACATTTTCAACAGAAAGGTCCCCAACCTATGATACAATTTCAAATTAAATCATAAGAGTCGGTAGGTCATCCCATATAAACATGATCAAAATGATGACGAAAATTTCTTTATTTGATAGACTTATATGGAACGCAGTGACTGTCTTATGTGATCAATGTTTTTGCTATCTTGTGAAATGATGATACTATTTTGTCGTTTAAGCATGTTAACATGTGCAATTTACATTTTATCTTGTCAAAATACCATGCTGACTTGTTCAAACAGCATGTTAACTTGTCAAATAATCATGATGGCATGTGCAGACAACATGTTAACTTGTCGAAGTATCATGATGACTTGTGCAAACGACATGTTAACTTGTCAAAATTTCATGATGACATGTGCAAACAGTATGTTAACTTGTCGAATTAACATATTGACATGCTCATGATACTTTGAGAAGTTAACATGTGTTTTGCACAAGTCATCACGATACTTTGACAAGACATGATGTGAATTGCACATGTTAACATGCTCTAACGACAAAATAATATCATCGTTTCACAAGAGAGCAAAAACATTGCTTACCTAAGACATCGTCATCGCTTCATAAACACAAACGATTTAGGGGTTTTCAAACATTTCAACTATCTGTTTAACTTAACTTACGCTTATGGATATTCAATACCCACGCACAACCTATTACATTTTCCGAAAATGTGTTCTCTGCTTACCACAATTAAATATAACAAACGGGTTTATTTGTAAGCTCCGGGTAGTTTTCAGAAAATAACTTACTGACATTTGAGTGGAAATTTTATCGGAAATTTCGTAAAATACAAGCTATATAAAGGTTGTTTTTCTAAGGCGCATTTTAAACGAGACTTTTGTGCGTTAGAAGACGAATCAAAGACGAAAGTTAAATCTATCGGAAAAGTTAAAACTTAAAAAAAGGTAAAATTTTAAAGGATAATTTAATATTGGGAAATAATTTTATATTTTATTATGTTTAAAAGGAACTATTGTGGCGATACTTGTACACTTTGTTTATTGGAACAGACTTTGTCTAGATAAATGGTTTAAATTAAATTGTTTGTTGTTGTTCATATCAAGAAATACGAACTATTATGTTAAGTAAAGCATAAATGAATGATTTTTATTCGAATAATTAAAATTTATTTTCATTCATACATTCAAATGTCGCATTCAACTTAATTAATTAAGGTGTGTTATAATAATTTTAATATATATCAAAAAATATATATATAAATTTTATAAATAAAATTATTTATATAATATAATAAAAGATTTATTTTCATATACATTGTGTATACATCAGTAAAGATAAAAGTACATAATACAACAAATCAAATTTCAACTGAATTCAATACATCATATACAAAAACATCATACAAACATAAATATCACATTATATATCACATGTAACTTTGACTTTAGTATCATAATCACAGAGTAAGATGGATAACCCATTAAAGTCATAGACTTATTTCGTATGGGGTCATAACAATAATGATAAAAATGTTCTTAAAACTGTTACTTTATAACAATTACTTGAGATAAAAAGAAATTAACTTATTTACTGTCCACAAAAGAGGATAGATGTTTAATCATTCTTTTTTTTTGAGAAAAAAACTTTTCACTTCCTTTTAAAGGACACATAGCTTTTGGTTGTCTCTTTAATTGAACCTGGTAAAGAATTCCTAAGGTCTGTACAAATATAATAAAAGTACTGGCATCCATTCTGTTATGAACTGTATGGACATAAAAATTGCTGGACCTAGTCCTTGTATGGATGTCTTTTGAAAATTATCATAATTATAGGTTGGAATGACATTTATTAAAAACATTTTATGAGCATGGTTCAATCCTGGCTGCATAACATTATAACATACTCTTATTATACCAAGTTTTGCAAAACTATATCTCTAATTGATGTTCTAGGACAATAACCAAGAATAAATCTTACAACTTTATTCTGACATTTTTGAAGTATAATTTTTAACCCGTTAGACAAGCCATAATACCATGAAGAGCAAGAAAAATAAAAATGGATTGAACCAAAGAATTTAGTAAAGTCTTGCGTAAATTTTAGTCAATACCATTTCTGCCTGAATAGAAATTTAAGTCTGGAGTTAACTTTCTTTAACTTCATCATTAACAGTTGATTTACCAGATGAATCATTTAATTTATCAATTACTTGACTTAAATATTTTACACGTCTTTTGGAGAATAAATGACATTGTCATTACAGGTTACTGTAAAAGACTTAACTTTCTTAAATTTTCTTTTAATGGCAAACAAGATACATTCAGTTTTTCCTAAGTGAAGAGAATGTTTTTTGTCATTGAGCCATTCATTACAAGACTGTAGCTCTAGTCCTAACCTTCTGTCAATTAGATCTAGATTTTTACAGGAAAATGATAGCACTATCATCCGTTAACAATCTTTACTAATACTAATCGACACGTCATTAACGTAACACAAAATAGAAGGAGGCAAAGTTTACTTGTTAATTAGTTTATATATATTTATATGTAATGATAACCTTTTATGATACATTTTATTTTTGTTTAGATGTCAAGTCAGCAAACAGGTGGTAGTAACACAGGTGCTGCAACAAAAGCAGACCTGGATAATCACGGCAATCAGTGTAACCCAAACAACCCGAACTTCCAGTAAGTTTTTATTATAGCCTGAAATATATTAAGTATATTGACATCATTGTACAATTTGACTGCGTTCTTATAAATCATTGGATTGCTGAAAATTACGCTTTTTAGGAAGATTTAATTTTATTTTTGCATTCACTGCATTACGTTTTAACCGTACATTCTATGTGAAACAAAACGTAATACGAATCATTTGTTCGGTATTTGTAATACAAATTATTTGTTTTGTATTTCAGGGGACATACTCCTGGATTTAGCGGTACAGGGACAAAATCGGATCTCGACAACCATTCCAATCAGTTGAACCCGAATAACCCACGGTTTGAGGCTCCGAAAAAATGATGATTGTTACACAAAATGAATGCCAAAGAAATGTAACAGTCTTACAAATAAATAGTTGAAAAATATATTACTGTTTGTACTTTTAAAGCTACTACCTCTTTTAAAGTGGTGCAAGTATTTTGGAAAATTGATCCTGTTTGTGGTTTAAGAAAGAATTTATTTAAAAATGGTCAAAAATGGAAACCTTTAACGTCCTCAAACACGCTTATGAACGACAGTGGTTTATGCTTTTTACCGTCTCAGGCCCCCTCTCTTTCCAGCAAGGCTGTGCGCCAAATACTTTATTATGGAACTAGTTATCGGGTTCTTGTTTTCAAATAAATAAATAAATACGAGGGCTGTCCCAAAATGTCGTAAACCCGACGTTATTACCTAATGAATTAACCATTTTTCAAAATTGATCATAAGACGAGGAGAAGTCACTTGATACACGTAAAGATGAAGGAAAACTTTACACAAACGATTATTAAATTTTGTACAGATCAACAATCATCATGGACTCTAATGTCAAATTAAAATGGAATTGGTAGGCTCGAGCAAAACAAATTACGATCGATCGTAGTAAAATCTGATTTTCTTCCGGGCAAAGTTGAAGATGATACATAACAAACTCGATAGAAAAATATATCGTACAAGTGATCAGTTTCCAAAAACTGTTCAAGAACGGCGTAAAAAACTTATGCCACACCTCATATAGGCCAGAGAACAAAAGAAGAAAAGCTGTTCTCTCATATGACATGCTATACATTGAAAACCGACGTTATACTGCTGACAATCCCCCATCCGGTCCGATTCCGACTAAGCCGCCACGACAACAGAGTACTATGTATACGAATCATATACCGAATGCGGCACATCCTAATTAATGTAGACAACCAAGAATGGCCTTTACTGCTAGCAGGAGATCCTTCTGAATAGAAGTCCATTCAGAAGCAGCTTACTATCTTGTTATGCAGGCTGTCCAGCGTGCCTTAAATTAAAAAAAATGTCATATTTTTTCAGTTTTGCTAAAATTCCTAAATAAATGAAAAATTAAAAAGGAATTCCTAAAAGTGCCCTATTTTTCAAATTAAACTCCTATTTTTTTTTTAAAAAAAATTCTATAAACATACTTATAACTTTGAAAATGTTTTCATTCTTATTATGTTTAACTAATGTAATTGATTTATTACAACTGTAAAATGAGGACATCAATTTGTTATCTTTGTATTTTTTTACTATTTGCTGATGATATTGCTTTGTTGACAACCAATGCAAATAGTCTGCAAAGCCAGATTGATAATCTGTGTGAAAATTCTAAGAAATTGGGGTTAACCTTTTACCGCATGAGCATATTGCAAAAAATGGCTGTTTTCATTGAAAAACCTCCTCTTACAAGTTCAAATAGCTATGAAACTATAAAAAATGCTTCAATTCTAACCAAACTTGGCACAAATATTGACTGAACCATAGCCTTTGTAACAGCGTGCTCAATCCTAAATTTCCTATTACCATGACAACGGGGGACGTCTCAAAATTGCCAAAAATCACTATTTTGCGTCTTGAGAGAGAGAGAGAGAGAGAGAGAGAGAGAGAGAGAGAGAGAGAGAGTCAAAGGTTTTTCAGCGTTTGTTACACACGTTACCTTAAGATCGACTTGAGGCCATTTTTAGCCCCTTAAAAAATCCAAAATTTTCTTGGCGACGACCGAGGAGGGGGGTGGCTACTGCCACCCATCAAACCCCCAAACAGAAGGGGCACACACCCCTCTGCTATCACTTTTTTGAACAACACTTCTCAAACAAAAAACAGTGTTTGGGGCTTAAATAGGGTATTTTCTCACTATTGGAGGCCTCTTGGTGGAAAGCCTTCAAAACACGCCTTTATGAGGTAAAAGGTTAAAATTGATGATCGGTATATTTGAAAAGAAAAAAAAAAGAAATAATTTTACATGGTTTATCAACGGAGAAAATGTCGAAACTGTCGATTCCTTTTGTTACCTTTGTGCAACATTTACATACACAGGCAAAATAATAAATGCTGCGAAGGCAGTAAACGACCAAGCTCTTAAAGCAAACACTTATCTATTGTCACTGTCGGGTAGATTTAACATAGATGTCAAAAAGCGCAACAGCCTTTGATTGACTCCCTAGTTGGTATGGTTCCGATGTCTAGGGGATTTACAATTAGAAAGAAGTTGACAAACTCCACCTGAAGTTCTGTAAAGTAGTTTCTAGGGGTTCGTCCTCAAACATCAAATGCTGCTGTCCTTGGAGAGCTTGGTCTGTTTCCCCCTTTTAAATATGCCAATGTTTAAACAAAGATTACGTGATCAATATGTATACGCTTGGAATGACACTGTAGCAAATCAATCCTAATGGCAATTAAAAACTGTATTTATGTCCAAAATTACATATATGTTATTAAATATTATACACATAGAAAAGAAATCTCTCGACTAAGACTATGCAGAGATTCTCTTGTATATATTCTGGTACTAATAGAAACTTATGAATATGTAACCGTTTTTCTCGAAATGTTGAATCTGAAAACCAGTTCTTGTTATGTGCCCTACGTATAGTGAACTATGATAAAAAAAATAATAATTCCTTTGCATGTTTAAATAAATTCTGTAGAATATTACCTTCTAGTTACCATAGTACTGTAAGAAACACGGCTATATAATTGAGCTGCACCATGTCAAAACCAACATAATGGGTTTGCGACCAGCATGGATCCAGACCAGCCTGCGCATCCGCGCAGTCTGATCAGGACCCATGCTGTTCGTTTACCAACTCTATTACAAGTAGAGACACTGATAGCGAATAGCATGGATCCCAATCAGACTGCGCGGATGCGCAGGCTGGTCTGGATCCATGCTGGTCGTAAACCCATTTTGTTGGTTTTGTCGTGGCGCGGCTCAAATACAGTTTCATCGATGTACATCTTGTGCTATCATATCAGCATATTTTTGTTTCAAATGACACAACTATGTTAGATAAAAATATTAGTGGGTTTTCAAAATTTAGACTCGTTTCCCTCTGAAAATGATTAATTACGGACCTTAAAGTTTAAAAATTTATATATAAAAATATCGGTAGGCCACAGGCGGGACTCGAACCACGGGTCTCTGGATTGCCAGTCTAGTATGCTTTCGACTACACCATAGCGCCCATTGCGTTATCATATATATTTTGTGGACCAATATAAATCCCACAAATCAGGAGATACTTCAACCTACAACCAAAAATATGTTAAGCCCAAGAAGTAATATATATCTTCGTCCTTGGCTTGGCTAACACAGGATATATTTTCTAAATATCAAAGATTAGGTTTGACAATCATGTATATTTATTGTTTTATTACATGTCAAAAGAGGACGAACTAGTTTCAGGTTTCTATTTACGCAATGTAAACAAAGAGGTTGGGAATATCTGTACACTCAAAGATCAATTTTAGATATTTTAAATTTTTATTTGTGCTTCAGTAAGCATGAATAGAACAAATATAATTTCTTCAATTCGTTGTATTAACTTATTATTAACTTTGTTTTACTTATTGTTTAGATTTAGGTTGTATCGAACCCATTAGAAAAAATGATTTGTTTTTGGTCAAGGTTATTTATGATTCACTATTTTCAGAAAACTGTACAGCGCAATAGATATCGCTTATGAAATATGTAAAAACAAATATTATATAGATGAAGTACACCAAGGCCAATAATCAATTACGCAATTATATCACACGATAAAACATCAAACGGCGATGTCGCTGAATTTTCTGGGTTTTTTATTTGTCATTGTTGTTTTAAATTAGATTTTAAATGAGATGTAGTATTTTTTACATTTTTTTCCAGTATTACGTTAGAATTTTACTGAGACAGCCTAAAACTCCAAATCCATCCAAATTTTACCGAAGCTTGGCTTCCAAAATTTTATATGATTCACCTCTCTAAGCTGGACTCCAATATTTATTTGGCCAATCAAATTTGATTTAACGTAGCGGCTAAAACCCTTCAATTTTAACGCAATGTTTAAAAAGCAGCAAGTATTGCTTTTAGCGCAAAGATATGATGATGATAAAAAATTGAAATTATTTTTGGTTGTTTGTTGAAACATCATAAAATACAGGTCAATATCAAATATGGATTAACGCAACTAAATTTTTAAATAGTTATTGTCCATTTTCAACATCTATTTAGCAAAAATTATGTTGCTTCCACTTGATTACTCTGGATTGAAATTATTTTTGGTACACAGATGAAGCATGTTTGAATATATGTGAAATTTAAATTAAGGTTCAGAACACTAAATATTTTTCATAGTGTTTAGTCCTTTTTATCTTTAATTTTGCAAAGAAATAGTTTGCACATGAGTTTTTTAGGAGTCACTTGATTTAAAATAGTTTTCAGAACACGGCTGAAATAATTGAAATACAGGTTGAATTATAATTTGGATTCAGACCACTAAATATCTACATACATGTAGATATTATTATCTGTAAAATATCAAAGAGATGGTTTCCAAATGATAACCTTAAGGAGAAAGGAGTGTAATCATTGTAACTAATGTAACAACATTTGAGCCGCGTCACGACAAAACCAACATTGTGCGTTTGCGACCAGCATGGACCCAGACCAGCCTGCGCAGTCGCGAAGTCTGATCAGGATCCATGCTGTTCGCTACCAGTTTCTCTACTTGTAATAGAGTTGGTAAGCGAACAGCATGGATCCTGATCAGACTGCGCGGATGCGCAGGCTGGTCTGGATCCATGCTGGTCGCAAACGCACTATGTTGGTTTTGTCATGACACGGCTCATTTAATTATTCAAATTTTTAATTTATATTATTCAAGTATAGGTCAAGTTTAGGCACAGACCACTAAATGTTTACATAGTTTTGGTTTATTTTCTTTTACCAATTTAAAAATTGTTTTGATGATTTAAGATCTTTCTTGATGCAATTATCTGTACAATGTTTTATTTTTCTTTAAACAACATCTTCTCTGACCAAACTTTACAGGAATGATCCTTCGGTGGTCCCCTTTCAAAGTTGTTCATATGTTGGTTGCTAATGTAGATAAGGGGA